GTGTTCATTTTCTGCAACTTTTTCCGGCTTGTGATCCCACCAGTTCTTTGTCGCAGGCAGATGGTATTTGTGGCACAAGTTCCAATGAATCATCTGAGCAACGGTGTTATGCCTCTGCTTGTAGTCTGTCTGCGCAATCTTCTCGCAGCAGCTGAGGATGTGATCTATTGTTTCATCTGCTTCCTTGCAGAGTCTACATTTGGGATCTGTTATTGACTTTTCAATTCTGGCTTTGATGGCATTGGTTCTAATGGCTTGTTCTTGGGCTGCCAGAATCAGGCCTCCTGTCTCCTTTTTCAGAGTTCCATTTGTGAGCCACAGCCATGTTTTTTCTTTGTTAATTTGGCTCTCAATTTTTCCCAGGAACTGTCCATGGAGAGCCTTATTTTGCATTATTATTATTATTATTATTATTATTATTATTATTATTATTAAATGCAAACCAGAAGAAGCCAGAATTCCATTTCTGGTTTTGTAAAAATGTGCACTTTTAAAAATGTTAAATAGTGTAAGCCTCCCCATCAATCTATTTAAAATGAATATCACTGTGCTTTGAGTCTTCTAGGAGGACGGTCAAAAGCCTTAGCTTCTCAAGCCACATTTTGCCCACCTCACCATAAAGTGAGTAGTGCTTTAACCTTTGCTCCACTGTTTTATCTGCTGTTCATTCACAATAGGAGGACTGCAGGGACCAAAAGCATGTTCTCCCTGTGATTTAAGATGCAGAGCCTCAAAGTATTGTGGGTTTTTACACTTATGTTGGATGGCTATCTCTTGGGAGTACCTTTCGTTATATGTTCCATTGTGGCTAAGGGTCATACTAGATACCCCTTGCTGTCCCTTTGAATCCTGTGGTCCTATATTAGTATTAGAAACCCAAGCATAAATGTTTCCATACATGCTCTAATAAAGAAAGCTTCCTAAGTGGCTCCTAAGACAGGCATTTTGATTCTCCATGCTTGTAAATTGAATGAGGTGACTCTATGATCACATTGATGCCCTTTGGCCTTCTTATCTTCCATATCGCTGTTAGAAGTGAGTCACTCCAGAGTCAAGTTCTCCTTTTTCCTGCGAAATAGTTGGCTACTCTGCACCCTAAATCTATATTAGGAATGGAATCATTACATTACTAGTCGTAAACATTCTGATGGAGCATTGCTTTTGTAAGTGATGTGCTTCCCTGTGACTGTTTTCTGATGTTCCTCTTTCAGATCCCAAGCCGGTCATCTTTCTGCAGCATGGTTTGCTCGCTGATGGCAGCAACTGGGTGACAAACCTGGACTACAACAGCCTGGGGTTTATGCTGGCTGATGCTGGCTATGATGTTTGGCTAGGGAACAGCAGAGGAAACACTTGGTCCAGGAAACACGTAAACTACTCAGCGAGCGAACCAGAGTTCTGGATGTTCAGGTAGTGTGAACTTGTTTAACATAAGTACATGTTCCCTGAGTTTCTCTATTTGAAGTATGTAATCAGATATACTTTTCTACTTTTAGCTGCTTTAAAAAAAAAATTGGAACTCAAGTAGGAACAGTGTTAGGCTAGACCATTGTTTCTTCTGACTTATCGTCAGTTTTGACAACACTCCACAATTTCAGGCAAAATTCTTCCTAGCCCTTGTCAAGACCCAGAAGCCTCAAGTAGAGCCAAACACAAGATAAAGAGTTCAAACACAGCTTTATTGTACAAAAATAGTCTTTTAAAGCACTTAACTTCAGTGCATAGAGTCAATGTAGCAATTTGGCATCAAAAACGCAGTAATATCAGTAACAAAAATATAACCTGGATTATAATGCTGTTTAATCCAGATTAAACTCAAAGTTCAGCAATCTGCTTGAAAATTAGCACAGCACAAAAACACAGTCACAGAAGATGAAAAACAAAGTCCCAAAAACGATGAGATGTTCAAGCACAAAATTAGCAGAGTTTAAAGTTCCAGAAGTCAAAAGCGAAAGTCAAACCGGTCCGTAGTCAAGCCGTAGTAAAAGGTAAACACAGGAATGCAGGAGTCTCAGGAAAGCAGGAACGCAGGAAGCTGTAGCCCAAGGACCCAAGCTAAATGGTTGGCAGCAACAAAGATTTATGTCCCATAAAGACACTTTGCCTTCTGCAAAGTATCATTCAAACAGAACCCACTTTTATCTTAGATCTCCTCGTTAGAGGATGATGAGCTCCCCACCCTTTCCTCATCGCTCTCAGCTGCATCCACCCCCGCAGCTAAGCCCGAGCGCGCATCCCTCCATCTCTGCCAGCGTCTGCTAAGACTTAGATCTTGCCAAGTGCTCCCCGGTTGCCAATCCCCTGTGAACCCCTCAAATTCATCACTGGAGGTGGGTTGGTTACAAATGTCCCTTATCTGTTGAACACGGGTCCAATCCAGCTCCTCCTCCTCCTCTCCATATCACTCCCAGACCCATCACTCCTTTCAAACCCCATGAAATCCTCGTCCTCTGTTGGGGCAGTAAGTATTTCCCGGATGCGCTTCCTCTGAAGCTTCTTCATCGGACTCCGGATCGCGAGTAGCCCTCTTTACTCCCCTGCTCTCCTCCCCATCTCCCATTTCGCAATCAGAGAAGCCCTCAAACGTCTCGGAATCACTTGGGGCCAATATTATTTCCCTAATGCGTTTCCGCTGTTGTTCCCCCTCTGACTCTTGCGCAGACCTCTTCTCCCTCCTACTGGTAGTAGGAACGTTAGCATCATGCTGAACTACAACACCCTCTCTCATACTCCTATCTGGGGCCTTCTCACACTACATAATTATACCACTACGTTTCCACTAACTGCCATACCTGAATCTTGGGCCCCTTCTACACTGCCATATAAAATCCAGATTATCTGCTTTGAACTGGATTATATGGCAGTCTAGACTCATATAATCCAGATAATGTGGATTATCTGCTTTGACAGGAGCCCCCAGTGGCACAGTGGGTTAAACCCCTGTGCCAGAAGGACTGAAGACCAACAGGTCACAGGTTTGAATCCAGGGAGAGCATGGATGAGCTCCCTCTATCAGCTCCAGCTCCTCATGCGGGGACATGAGAGAAGCCTCCCACAAGGATGATAAAAACATCAAAACATCCAGGCGTCCCCTGGGCAACGTCCTTGTCAACAGCCAATTCTTTCACACCAGAAGCGACTTGCAGTTTCTCAAGTTGCTCCTGATACAACACAAAAACAAAAACTGCTTTGACAATCTGGATTATATGGCTTTGGAGTTTATAGTTTGGTGGAGCACTAAAGCTCTCTGGCTGAGATTCCTAAACTTTTAATCCCAGGACACCATGGGTTAGAACCATGACAGTTCATGGCAGTAAGGGACTATTCTACAAATCAGGAATTATATATACTTGGATGAAGAGATTAACCCCAATTTTAAAAGTTGAAATTTGGCTTTAATAGTGAGGACAGTTGGTGTTTGTTTATTTATTTATTTACTCTATTTGTATCCCGCCTTTCTCTACCCCAGTGGTTTTCAACCTTCCTCATGCCACGACCCTTTAATACAGTTCCTCACGTTGTGGTGACCCCCAACCATAACATTATTTTCGTCATGCAAATATCTTATTTGCTAAATGTATTTTCATTCACTGGACCAAATTTGGCACAAATACCCGATGCGCCCAAATTTGAATACTGCTGGGGTTCGGGTGGGATTGATTTTGTCATTTCAGAGTTGTAGTTGCTGGGATTTATAGTTCACTACAATCAAGGAGCATTCTGAACTCCACCAACGATGGAATTGAACCAAACTTGGCACACAGAACTCCCATGACCAACAGAAAATACTGGAAGGGTTTGGTGGACATTGACCTTGAGTTTTGGAGTTGTAGTTCACCTACATCCAGAGAACACTGTGGACTCAAACAATAATGGATCTGGACCTAACTTGGCACAAATGCTCAATATGCCCAAATGTGAACAATGGAGGAGTTTGGGGGAAATAGACATTACCATCTGGGAGTTATGTTGCTGGGATGTATAGTTTACCTAGAGTCAAAGAGCATCTTGAACCCAACCAACTATAGAATTGGACCAAACTTCCCACACATGACCAACAGAAAATACTGTGTTTTCTGATGGTCTTTGGCGACCCCTCTGACACCCACCCACGACCCCCCCAGGGGTCCTGACCCCCAGGTTGAGAAACACTGCTCTACCCCGAAGGGGACTCAAGGTGGGTTGACATACAGCAACTGTTCAATGCCTCTGGACAACAAACAGAATACACTTAAATTAAAAAATTAAAATTAGATGCACATTAAAACATATAAAACATTGCATTCACTATTAAAATCACGCCATCTTTAATCATAATCCAAAGACCAATTGCATGTATTTCAAGGATACATGGATCTGCTTATGATCATTGACTTCCAAAACAGGCTTCTGTGCAATGGCCTCCTTGGCAGCTGTTGCCATGCAGATTTCTTCCATGTGCTGGCATTTGAGCATGTGAATCTCTTGCATGTGTTATGAAACCTGTTGGGTGGAGTGATATTCCCACAACTTACTCATCAGATGCAGAAAATGCAAACTAGCACTTACTCTTTCCTCTTCTTGTATATTTTTACATCTGAGCCCTTTCCCTGGAGGTATGTGTGTGTGATCTTATTCCATCTCATCCTTGGAGCCAACTTGCAAGCATGGAAAAAAGTAGGAGGCATAATCTTATCTATGTAAGCTTCCAGGCTCTAGGTTGATTTCAGTCCAGAGCTCTCTTGTACAAATCCACTTGCTGTCTCTGCAGTGTACTCAAACCTTTGTGTATTATTATTATTATTATTATTATTATTATTATTATTATCTATATAAATAAAAATGTAATGTTTGTTTGTGGGATTAACAGAACTAAAAAACCAGTGGACGAATTGACACCAAATTTGGACACAAGACACCTAACAACCCAATGTATGTCCTTCACTAAAAAAAATGATTTTGTCATTTGGGAGTTGTAGTTGCTGGGATTTATAGTGCACCTACAATCAAGGAGCATTGTGAACTCTACCAATGATGGAACTGAACCAAATGTGGCACACAGTACTCCCTTGACCAGCAGAAAATACTAGAAGGGTTTGGTGGGCAGTGTCCTTTGGTTTTGGAGTTGTAGTTCACCTACATCCAGAGAGCACTGTGGACTCAAACAATGATGGATCTGGACCAAACTCCACACAAATACTCAATATGCCCAAATGTGAACACTGGTGGAGTTTGGGGAAAATAGAATCTTGACATTTGGGAGTTGTAGTTGCTGGGATTTATAGTTCACCTACAATCACAGAGCATTCTGAACCCCACCAACGATAGAATTGGGCCAAATCTCCCACACAGAACCCCCATGACCACCAGAGTGGGCCACAGCAAGGTGTGGCAGGGGACGGCCAGTTATTTTTATTAATAATAATAATAATGTTCATGTTGATTTATATCCTGCTTTTTCTTTCCACAAGGAGTCTCAAAGTGGTTGACACTAAAAGCATTTCAAAACAACTTAAAATATACAAATACTAAAAAGAATTAAATGTCATTCATCTTAAAAACCAATTCTTTTAAAATCCATAAAAAACATATTCAAAACTAAAAACTCAAAAGATCTTAAACACAAAATATATTCAGTTAATTGGAAAACTACAAATAAATATGGGAATGGGGATTAACAGCCTTGACGTGGGTGACAAAAGAGATCCAGTGGCTGAAGAAAAAATAAGATGCCAAGCAGAGCTGTGTCTTTTACTAATTCAGTTGTTGTTTAAGATGTGATTAGCTTTAGACTCGTAGAATCAGTTAGTTGGCAGGGGCTTCATGGGTCAATCTGGTCTACCTCCCATGCCTCTCCAGCTAAAGCATTCCCAGCAGGTAGCTATCCAACCTCTTTTTGAAAATATCCAAAGAAGGATGCCTTATCTTTGTGGACAACTCAAAGCAGGCCTTGAACAATTGATTCTGAAATACATAACAAACCAAGAGCTGTCTTCTGGTCACATTGGATGGACATTATGGTACTTTAGGATACTGAAGTCATGTAAGTACCACCACATATGCTAAATATAAACCTCTCTCTCGTTGCTTTTTCCCTTTTGTAGTTATGATGAAATGGCTAAATATGACCTTCCAGCTACAGTCAACTTTATCCTGAATAAAACTGGCCAGGAGCAAATATTTTATGTTGGCCATTCCCAGGGCACCACAATGGGTAAGGTCAATGCATTCCTGCAATTCTAATACCTTTGTGTTTGAATGTGCGGCTGCTGTTTCATGCTAATGTCAGGGAAGGGGTTATGTGTAATGTCATGATAGTACATGGAGCCAATGAATGTGCGTGAAAGGGTAACCTTGAATACTGTATTTCTGAGGAAATGCTTCTAATATAACCAGTATTTAATGTTGAAAACAGATCCTGGAAAAGGTGTATTTTGTACCATGAGTCCCCGATTCCCTTTGTCAATATGATCACAACAGTCTCCCAAAGTAGTTTTTAGGCTATAGTTTTGATATAGTTCTGTTTGTTTGTTTTGTTTTATTGTTTATTAGCTTGAATACTCGACATTGCTCGGGTTATTTGAAAAAATATTTTTTTCAATTTTTTTCAAAAACCAGAGCCCTGTATTATTATTATTATTATTATTATTATTATTATTATCTTTATTTGTACCCCGCTAGCATCTCCCAAGACCACAATAAAACAACAATATAACAATTACATATAAACCAAAAGCAAATCAAAAACATTAAAAGCAATAACAGTAAACAGTAAAAACAGCACACCGTGACACAATAAAACTGTACAACTCATTATAAAATGCTTTGCTTTTTGTTTGTTCTTTTAAGTAATTTGAAAGAAACCCAAACACAGTATGATCAGGTGTTGGCAACCTGGTAGCCTCAAGACTGTAACTCCCATCAAGCCCAATTACCACGATAGTTGGCTAGCAATTGTGGGATTTGTAGTCTGAAACAAATGGAGGCCACCAGGGTGCCTAGTCATGGGATTAAATGTCTTAAGTAGTGTGTTAATCTCTTTTAAACTTGGTCAGAAACCTAATTGATTGGAATTAGAGATGGCGCCTTTTCTGTAAGGTCACCAGGTGGTAGCATTCTTTCTCCTAAAGCGGAGCTTTCCAAATGTTTCATGTTGGTGACACGCTTTTCAGACATCATTTTGCAACACAGTAAAATTCAGTTTTATTTGCAAACCAGAGGTTGAAACAACCCATTATAAGAGATACAGATACTGTAAGGATACTTTGCTTCAACTGTGTTGTTACGGGTTTAGTCTTCTCTTGAAAGAACATGCCAAGATGTGCAGGGGCTGAAGATATCACACATCTTTATTGTTTGGAATACAAGAATCTAGCACTACTGCCCATCTACATAGGGCCTTAGATACAATGTCATAAATCATGTAAAAGAATCCCAAACCTTGTGTGACTGTGGAGCAGAACAGACAACTCCACATCTGTATGCTTGTCCACTGTGCCCTGCCTCATGTACAGAGGAGGAATTGTCGGAGGCTACAGACAATGCCGTTGCTGTTGCCCGTTTTTTGTCAAAAGATAGTTAGCCACCTGTGCACCTTCTATTTTTATCAGGTTTATACTAATTTATGCAATGCTTTTGATACATAAGAAGAAGAAGAAGCAGAAGCCCTGGTACCTGGTGCCTGCCCTTTCTCACATACCAGCGCCCACCATCTCCCACCTCAGGGCAATTGACTTTTATGGCTGGTTCATATGTCCTTGCAGCATCCTGTCCTTCCTTTTGGCCAATGGCCATGTGCTCTATGTCAGGGCAGTTAGTTGCATAGCATGAGTGAGCATATTTATTTATTTCATATCAAAAGCACTGCATAAATTAGTATAAAACTGATAAAAATAGAAGGAGCGCAGGTGGCTAAATATCTTTTCACCATAAAAGGGCAACAGCAATGGCATTGTCTGTAAACTCCAACAATTCTTCCTCTGTGCCTGAGGCAGGGCATTGTGGACAAGCACACAGGTGCTGAGTTGTTTGTTCTGCTCCATAGTTAGGTAGTGCCATTTTGCCAGGTTGTCTTTTGATCTGCCCACTCCACTTCTGAGTCTGTTCAGGGACTTCCAAGATGCCCATTCTTGGTTTGTCCCTGGAGGAAGACTCAAGGGCATCCAGTTGGGATTTCCTGGTTTAGCTCCCCAGAGGGATACCCTTGCTGTGGCTGGGGGGATGCCAAGAGGAGTGGTAGTTCTCATAAAGCTTTTCCTTGATTTGAGTCTACTGGGAGGAGGCTGGTAGCCATGTAGCGGATGGCTTTCACAGTATTCAACCTTATTTCTCTCACATTTAGTAGCAACTTCCTGTCGCACATCACATGAGTGAGCATGACAGATACACACATAAATTGTAATAACAAAATATATGGAGGCCACAATATATCTCCTGAAAACATTTCATTTATATTTTTAATAATATATGATTTGTAAGAGAAAGTACGTTTCCAACATCTTTGTCATTTCTCATCACGTTTGCATGACACGCCGACACACTAACACGTTGCGACACACAGTTTGGAGAGCTCTGTTCTGGAGAGGTGCAGTTGCCACCTCCTCTTTCAAGTATCAAAGATGTTGTTGAGACCTTTAACATTATTTATTATAATCATTTTCTCATGCTTGCTTTTGTGCTCTTGAGAAAACCTAAATGGAAAGGCCTTCTTTTCTCTCCTAGCTTTCATTGCATTTTCAACAATGCCACAGATAGCCAAAAGGATAAAAATGTTCTTTGCACTGGCACCAGTCGCCACAGTGAAGTTTTCCTCCAGTCCTTTGGCCAAGCTTGGTAAGCTTCCGGAACTGCTGCTCAGAGTAAGTGTTTTGGATGAAATATTGGCTTGATTGTGGAGTGCAAATACTGGCTGGTAATGCTGGGAGTGTGCTGTTCCCTTCTGTACATACTTGAAGAAAAGATCGGACACACCTTTTAACAAAAGCTTGAGCAAATGACTCGTTTTTAAAGTAAACACATCTTGTAACCCAAGACTATTTTAAATGCTCTCAAGAGTTCTAAGCAGTTTGAGTGCTACAACTTGTTATTGGTGTATATAATAGTGTTCTCTATCTTATCACATTTTCCGTACACCATGGACTCCAGTGAGTTTCATTGACCCCATTTTGAAGGAGTGCATGTAGTAAGTGATTCTAATGCTTTTCATAGCCTTGTTTATGATACAGGGCTCAGTATAGGATTGCAGTTTCTACCTATCAAGAAATGGAGGATATAAAAACGAGTAACAGTTGGGCTTGTAGAAGTAGAAGTAGACATATTGATGAACAAGGTTCTGTTTCATTAGATTAACCAAAAGGGGATCCTTTTCATCTTCTGAGAAATAATTTGGAGGGTGGATTTGATCAGACCAATTACAAATTGGATATCGAAAAGTGCTCTTTTTTTGGACTTAATTGTATGTTTACTCTGACTATGGCAACCCTATCATAGGCATGACTCAATGCTATGGAATAACTCTTTGATGAGGCAGCAATACTCTTTGGCAGAGAAGGCTACAGATCTTGTCAAGATATAACTCCCATGATTCCATAGCATTGATCCACAGCAGTTAAAGTGGTGTTGAATTGCATTAATTCTACATTGTGGATTCACTCTCGGAGTCTTGGTCCAACATTCAGTAATGATAATAACAATCATCATCATCACAATCATCAAAGTCTTTATTTATATCCCACCACCACCTCCCCAAAGGGACTCAGGTGGCTTACAAGGCACTCTAGGGTGCACATATAACATATAACAGGTAAAAATGGTAAAAAAGTATAAGACAAGTCACATCAAATTAGAACAGCAACTCCCATCACCACATTTAGCATAAAATCAAAATATTTATTTATTTATTTATTTACTTTACTTATATACCGCTGTTCTCAGCCCGAAGGCGACTCACGGCAGTTCACAACCAACAAGAACAGCAGAAATTCAATGCCAGATATAAAACAGTTAACAATCCCGCGTAGCACACAATTAATAAACACTTATTACAATAACTAATCACTATCATCTCATCCACAAAAACATAATCCAGACTCGTCAACCATTTTCCATTCCTATGTTCATTACCAATTATTGCACTAACTATTCGAACGCCTGCTCAAACAGCCAGGTCTTAACTTTTTTACGGAATACCATTAGAGATGGTGCTAGCCTAATGTCAGTGGGAAGGACGTTCCACAGCCGAGGGGCCACCACCGAGAAGGCCCTATCTCTCGTCCCCGCCAACCGTGCTTGAGAAGCAGGCGGGATCGAGAGCAGAGCCTCCCCGGAAGATCTCAAAGCCCTGTTGGGTTCATAGGCAGAGATGCGGTCAGATAGGTAACTTGGGCCGGAACCGTTTAGGGCTTTAAAGGCCAACGCCAGCACTTTGAATTGAGCCTGGTAACAAATCGGTAGCCAGTGGAGTTGGCGCAGCAGGGGGGTTGTATGCTCCCTGCGCTCCGCTCCTGTTAAAATCATGGCTGCCGAGCGTTGGACTAGTACTACAATTTTAAAACAACAGTAGATAAAACTAACAAGCTACTATACTACATTTTTGTAACTACATCTATGAAAAAAGACCCAGGTAGTGTGGCCAGTTGGCACATAGAGTTGATAATTGTTCTCATGCTTTAATTTCTGGTTGCACAGGAAAATGTTCCTTGTGTACGAGCCCTAGATGCAATATGGATGTTTCTGTCTTCTGTGTTCATCAATTTCTCCCTCCCCTTTTCTAAATTGTGATTGTATGTGAATAACTATGGTTTCAGCTATGGTTTCATTGCTCACCATATATGCCGGCGGCCTGAGGGTGGGGTATAAATGTTTGTGTAATTTTGCTTGGCAGTCTGAACCAGATATTTAATTATGGAAATGGCTTGCATAAAGCATTTTAAAAAAGTGGTTTCCAGTTAATGAACAGTGGGAAAGCTCTCTTTTTGTGCAAAGCCTGCATTGAATTCCAAAGTCATTATCCAGAAAATGTATTCAAATAGTGGGTGTGAACAAAGACCATGGGTTATGACCAGAAATACCAGCATAGTTTAAGATATGTGCTCATGGCCATTTGTTTAATGCAAGGACAGGTCGCTCAGCCTTTTATGTTCCAGGTGTTTTGTACTTTCACTCCCAGAAGCCTCCACCAGTATAGCTAGTGACAAAAAAATCATGGGAGTTGAAGTCCAAAACATCCAGATACTAAAGATTGAGAACCACTATCTTCCAAGAATTTGAGGGAAAGGCCTGCATAGATTTGGAAAAGGGTTAAGGATTGTGGGGAATCGTTTTGTGGAGCACTGAGGGGAAGAGGTCAGGGCTACATGGGAAAGCACAAAGTATGAGATTTCAATCCCAAAAGGAGTGGAATTATATGACCATGAAGATGCTGATTCATTTCAGTTTCCAGCATCCCCAGCCAGCACAGGCAGTGGTGAGAGATGCTGAGAGTTTCAGTTCAGCAACATCTTACAGCCACACAGATCTTAATCATATGAAACAATAATAATGATGATGATGGAAAGATTAGCCGTTTACAAGAAACGTTGCCCAGGGGACACCCAACTGTATTTATGCAGTCTTTGAGGAGGCTCTTTCCGTGTCCCCCAGGTGAATATAGAACTGAACAAATCATGCAGAATAATCATAGGTTGTCTTAAACCTACACCTGTTGATAGACTCTATAAACTAGTTGGCATCGAACCCCTTGATGTGTGACGGGAAGTTGCTGCTAACTTTGAGAGAAATAAGATTGAACATTGTGAAAGCCATCCACTCATAGTTGTCAGCCTCCTCCCAGTAGACTCAAATCAAGGAAAAGCTTCATGAGAACCACAACTTTTCTTAATGTTCCCCCAGCAACAGCAAGAGTATCCCTCTGGGCAGCTAAACCAGGAAACCCCAAATGGATGCCCCCCAACAAGGTCTGCCTCCAGGGGCAAACCAAGAATGAGCAACTCAGAAGTCCCTGATTAAAACACAGGGAGACTGAGGGACATCAGCAATACCATATGGCTGTCATAATTATCCTTGTCTTTCACTGTAGATGAACTATAAATCCCAGCAACTACAACTCCCAAATGACAAAATCACCCCCCCCCCCAAATTCCACCATTATTTAAATTTGGGCATATCGGGTAATTGTTCCACATTTGGTCAAGTGAAGAAACTACATCCTGCATATCCAATATTAACATTACAATTCATAACAGTAGCAAAATTACAGTTATGAAGTAGTAACAAAAATAATGTTATGGTTGGGAGTCACCCCAACATGAGGAACTTTATTAAGGGGTCACAGCATTAGGAAGGTTGAGAACCACTGCTTTATAATGTCAAGACAATGGTTAGAGATCTGGTTCATCTTGGTTGACTTCAGAAAGCCTTTCATTTCAAAATAGTTCATAAAGTAAGTTTTGTCTGTTCAGACGACTTAGACAATTGCGGTCAACTTGTCTTATCCCACTTGAATCAAACAAATAGCTTTTATCAACAGGTCAAAGAGTCATCTAGACAGAACCCACCATTCCATCTGCATTGAGCTAATAGCTTTGTCAAAGCTTATGAGTTGAGCCTCAAGCTGATTAAGAGCCTTCTGGTTAATACTTGCATGTATACGAGTAGAAAATGAAATGTATTGTCGAAGGCTTTCATGGCTGGAATCACTAGGTTATTGTGGGTTTTTTCGGGCTATAGAGCCATGTTCTAGAGGCATTTCTCCTGACGTTTCACCTGCATCTATGGCAAGCATCCTCAGAGGTAGTGAGGTCTGTTGGAATTAGGACAATGGGTTTATATATCTGTGGAATGGCTGGGGTGGGGCAAGGAGCTCTTCCCTGCTGCAGTTAGGTGTGAATGTTTCAGCTGATCACCTTCATTAGCATTTGAAGGCCTGCCTGAGCCTGGGAAAATCTCTTGCTCGGAGGTGTTAATCTGTGCCTGGTTGTTTCCTCTCTGTTGTTTTGCTGTTGTAATTTTAGAGTTTTTTAATACTGGTAGCCAGATTTTGTTCATTTTCATGGTCTCTTCCTTTCTGTTGAAATTGTCCACATGCTTGTGGATTTCAATGGCTTCTCTGTGTAGTCTGACATGGTGTTGTTAGAGTGGTCCAGCATTTCTGTGTTCTCAAATAGTATGCTGTGTCCAGGTTGGTTCATCAGGTGCTCTGCTATGGCTGACTTCTCTGGTTGAAGTAGTCTGCAGTGCCTTTCATGTTCCTTGACTTGTGTCTGGGCAATGCTGCTGCGTTTGGGGGTCCCTATGTAGACTTGTGTCCACAGCTGCATGGTATACGGGAAACTCCTGCAGAGGTGAGAGGATCCCTCTTGTCCTTTGCTGAACGTAGCATTTGTTGGATTTTCTTAGTGGGTCTGTAGATAGTTTGTATGTTGTGTTTCCTCATCAGCTTCCCTATGCGGTCAGTGGTTCCCTTGATGTATGGCAGGAACACTTTTCCTCTGGGTGGATCTTCATCTTTACTCTCATGGTTTGTTCTTGGTCTTGCAGCTCTTCTGATGTCTGAGGTGGAGTATCCATTGGCCTGGAGAGCCCAGTTGAGGTGGTTCAGTTCATCTTGGAGGAGGTGGGGTTCGCAGATTCTTTTTCACGGTCTGCCAAGGCTTTAATGGTGCTTCTTTTTTTGACTTGGGTGATGGTTGGAGGATAAAGACAGAGACTTTTGAATTCCTCCACTGAAATCCGACTCCAGGAAAGGATGGACTTTATTTTCTGTAGTCTACTGTTTATTTCTCTATGTTGACAAGATAATCTACGTTTACTTATAATGTGCTGATAACATTCCTGTTAAATACTATAAAGTCTCAGACAATTTACTCCATTAGAGAGCATATAATCCTGATTTATATTACTTTCTTGAGAGTCTTATAAAATACACATACATACTTTCTTGTTTCTAATATACACATTAATCATGGCATATTCTTTTTGGAGCTGGCAAGCTCAGCTGGCTTTCTCAATATTTTCATAATGACAGGTTGCACTTTCACTGGAGGTTTGGGTGTGGGCTCAAATGCTGAGCTTTCCCCAGCTTGGCTAATAGTGAAGTGTCGTGATTTCAATTAAACTAACTATGGATGTTAGACCAGGATTTCGTGGATGCCTCCCTTGGAATGTCAGGTGTCATATATTAAGAACAGTCTGAACATTTAAATCAAACATTCTGATTCTCCAAAGCACTTCACATGCAACAACTATGCAAGGTTTGCATTGTGTGTTAGTTGGGGGGAAATGAAAGGATCTCTGTGTTATAAATTTAATAACTGTCACAAAATATCTAAAACACTACAAAAATGATAGGCATGCTTTTCCTATGCAAACAAAGGTTCAGAGCACAGTTGGTTCTGTAAGCGATTGGCAGATTTTTTACAACTGCTTGCCCTTGCCGTTTTCCAGTATGGAAGTGGCACTTGATTCAGGAATATAGACTTCCCTATCTCTATGGGTTAAGCAATTATAGGAGTGTGTACTGCTTTGCCTCCTCTCCCCAGACTTTGGACAATTCTGGGTGGATCTACACTGCCATGTAATCCAGATTATCAAAGTAGATAATCCACATTATCTGCTTTGAACTGGATGCCATATAATCCAGTTCAAAGCAGTGTAGAAGGGGCCTCTGTTTGCACATTCACATAGCAGCCCTGATCTTTGGAAGGAAAGGGAAAGAAAAGCAATTGTCACTGCTTCTAATTACCTCCTGAAGATTGAGACCACTGCCTGTACATTCACACAAAAACTTTTGGCTCCAGGAGTAAAATAATAATAATAATAATAATAATAATAATAATAATAATAATAATAATAATAATAACTCACACAGTCTTAGACGCTTGGGAAGTGTTCGACTTGTGATTTTGTGATACGAAATCCAGCATATAGATCTTGTTTGCTGTGACATACTGTGCTTTTGTGTCAATAAAATAATAATAATACTTATACTATTATTATTATACTTATTATATATTATACTTATATTATTGCTATATTATTATTATACTGTGGGACTTTTGGATCCAGACTGACAAAGTTCTGGAACACAATACACCAGACATCACGATTGTGTAAAAGAATAAACGTTTGGATTATTGATGTTACCATACCAGGTGACAGTCGCATTGAGGAAAAACAACAGGAAAACTCAGCTGTTATCAGGACCTCAAAATTGAACTGCAAAGGCTCTGGCATAAACCAGTACAGGTGGTCCCAGTGGTAATCGGCACACTGGATGTCGTGCCAAGAGATCTCAGGAAGCATTTGGAAACAATAAACATTAACAAAATCACGATCTGTCAACTGCAAAAGGCCACCTTACTTGGATCTGCATGCATCATTCGAAAATAAATCACACAGTCCTAGACGCTTGGGAAGTGTTTGACTTTGATTTTGTGATACGAAATCCAGCATATATATCTCGTTTGCTGTGACATACTGTGTTTTTGTGTCAGTAAAATAATAATAATAATTTTATTTCTTACCTACCTCTCCTTGTGGCTCGAGGCGGGTTACAGCATAATTAAAACACGTAAACACTGTAAAAATCTTATAAATGGACATATTAAAATGTATTTCTATAAAAGATACTTATCAAAATGTATTTCTATAAAATGCGTATTAAAATACACTGAACACAGATTAAACACGGGACATGACTTTKAAATTKATGCTTAAAAATGGTCCAGAGATATTAGCAATTTTTGTGAGGGGTCCACCACCCCTAACATCTGTGAATGTGGAGGGCCCATTGTAGTTATTCACCTGTCCCAGTGGCTCTCAACCTGTGGGTCCCCAGGTGTTTTGACCTACAATTCCCAGAAATCCTAGCTAGTTTACCAGCTGTTACAACCTCTGAGGATACCTTCCATAGATGCAGACGAAACATCAGGAGAGAATGCTTCTAGAACATGGCCATACAGCTGGAAAAACCTTACAACAACCCAATTATTCCAGCCATGAAAGCCTTCAACAATATATTTTACTAGCTGTTAGACATTGCAGGAGCTGAAGTCCAAAACAAAGGTTGGGAAACATTGCATTAGACCATGGAAAGTTGCATCCTTAAATCAAGGGTTTTTCTCTCTCTCCAAATGTGGAGCATCCGTTGTTCCATTTTTAGGCTACCAACGGTTGTTTTAAGAAGTCAGTTCTTGTTCATTCACTTAATTTTTTTTTAAAGGGCATCTTGTGGACTTGTGTGTGTAACTGACCGCCATACCACCCAGGAGGGTTTTTTTTGGGAAATAAATATTATTTTTCTTTACTCTCAAGGGTCACCCTTGCCAACCCCTGGTTTAGATCAACACAAATGTATTTTGATCATAAGCAGATTCTCATTTTCGCCTTGGTAATATCTTATGGCTTTATAATGCAAGATTCATCCTCCTAGGAAAATGGGAGCCATTTTAACAAAGTGACTTATGTGTTTTCTGGATTTCCTTTGGCAGGAAATATTTGGATCCAAGCAGTTTTTCCCCCAGAACTCAATTCTGAAATGGCTTTCAACCCACATGTGTGACCGTATCTTGCTGGATGACCTTTGTGGCAACGTTTTCTTTCTACTGTGTGGGTTTAATGAGAAAAACCTAAATATGGTAAGATTTTTGGCAATTTAAACTGTAGGCATTTTCTCCTAATATTGATTGGGACTGTGGTTATGGCAGTGACATTGACAACGTTAAGTTCCCCTAATGTATTTCAGCAAGAAAGGGGGATATGGTGCCTTCTCCATAAACTGTGGTTGGTTGGTTTGTTACAATGGGCCATAACATCAACCAGATTGGAAATTCATATGCTAGAGAGCTAGGCAATCTCTTGCCTTATTCCACCAAAAAGGTGTGATATTGAAAAATATGGCAAATTCAAGAGTATCAAACTATAGTCCCAGGGAAGTATTAATTGTTACTAACTTGTTACAAATGAGAACAAGTGTTCTGAGCTCTAGCGTTTGTCCCAATAGTGCAAAGTAGTTGTCAACACTTGATGATAAATTCAGCTAATACATTTTTTTTATTTCATACAGACTCGAGTAGATGTATACTCAACACACTGTCCAGCTGGAACATCTGTCCAGAATATGATTCATTGGAGTCAGGTATATCTTAAATTCTTGACTGGGTTTGAAGAACAAGATTAAGTAAGCATCCTTCCTAGGACCCTTTCCTATCTTCCTTTCAAGGGAGCCTGGGTTTGAAGAACGGGGTTAAGGAAGCATCCTTCCTGGGACCCTATCCTACCTTTCAAGGGAGCCTGGGTTTGAAGAATGGGGTTAAGGAAGCATGTTTCTTGGGACCCTTTTCTATCTTCCTTTCAAGGGAGCCTGGGTTTGAAGGATGGGGTTAAGGAAGCATCCTTCCTGGGACCCTTTCCTTAGACCTTAGATACAGTTTGCATAAGATAAGTCACGGTGCTCTTCTATTATAATTGGCCCAATAGGTAGGGCTCACAGGGAAACCCCGTGCGAGCAGCAGCACGCGGCAGCCTCTCTACGTTGTGGGGTGCCGAATAGGGGAGGAGGAGCCGTGAATGGCTGCCACATGGTCTCATTATGGGCAAAAAAATGTGATGGCTTAGCCCATACTGTTATGGCCATCTGGCCAAGCTGAACAAGCCAGATTGGCCAAAGGGAACCAACCACTCCGAATCTATGCACAAGCCTAATAAATAATCAATGCCAGTATATGCGAAACTGAAGCTGTATATTGGGGGAGGTGTTTTATATAGTTTTTGCAAAGCCCAGAAGTATTTCTTAAGCTTTAACTTTCAGAAGCCTTTTTCCAGAACTGTTGTCAAAAAAGTGATTTCTCAGTCTTTTGGGTTTTGGTATGATTGTAATAGTACAGGATAGTCTTTCTCCTCTTTCAAGGGCACAATTGTTTCTGTAATCTGGTGTTAGGACCTGACTTGCCTATATGAGTCATCCAGAGATATGGCTTTCTAAGCATTGTTTGCCAAGCACATGCTCTGTTGAATACATACTCTTAGTCAATTGTGTGTGATGATCTCGAGGGCTTTGATGACGTCTTGGTTTTGTGTTTAATGCAGGGGTCTCTTAACTAGGGATGGAAATCTTGTGTCCTTCTGAAAGCAAAGACTAGCTTTTGCTGAATTGATTTTCCATTTACTCTTCTTCAACTGAGATGGTCCTTTCTGAAAAAACGAAGATAGATACATACATTAAGTCTCCTAGGCCAGGGCTTCTTGAACTTTTCCACTCACAACACCTTTTGGCCTGAGAAATTTTAACGTGACCCCAGATATATAGGTATTAGAAAATCAACTACACTGGTAACCAATAAGTATTTACAAGACTTTCTACACAGGCTAATTTTCCGTTTTTATATAGTACAGCTAAAGCATTTTCTACGGAATCCACTGCACAACAGATTTGTGTGACTGCCTAAAACAGCAACAGTTTGGAAACCTTTTACTGTTGTAAAAAATTGTGGTATCCCAAAATTAAACTAAGGGGACTTCATTTGGTGTTGCAGTTTCTCAAGTTGCTCCTGACCAATAATAATAATAATAATAATAATAATAATAATAATAATAATAGCTGCAAGAAGATTGCGCAGACAGACTACAAGCAGAGGCATAACACCATTGCTCAGATGATTTATTGGAACTTGTGCCACAAATACCATCTGCTTGTGACAACTAACTGGTGGGATCACAAGCTGGAAAAAGTTACAGAAAATGAACACATCAAACTCCTCTGGTACTTCTGAATTCAGACTGACAGAGATTTGGAGCACAATACTCCTGACCTCACGATTGTGTTAAAAAACAAAGTATGGGATCATCGATGTTGCAATCCCAGGTGACAGAGGATTGAAGAGAAGCAACTGGAAAAGCTGACACGATTTGAGGATTTAAAGGTTGAACTGAAAAGACTGTGACACAAGCCAGTCAATGGTGATCGGCACACTGGGTGCAGTGCCTAAAGACCTTGGTCTGCACTTAAACACAATCAGCGCTGACAAAATTACCACCTGCCAGCTGCAGAAGGCCACCTTACTGGGATCTGCACGCATTATTCGCCGATACATCACACAGTTCTAGACACTTGGGAAGTATCCGACCTGTGATCCAATTCAACAGCCAGCAGAGTGTTTGCTGTGGACTAATTTTGTTGTGTTTCAAATTTATAATATAATATAATATAATATAATATAATATAATATAATATAATATAATTGGTGTTGGGACCTACTGTTTGAAAAGGAGTGTCATAGGCAAAGCTATTTGAAAGCACTTTCTAACTCAGTTGGGTAAACAAGCATAGGGTTGGGCTTCAAGTTTTGTTTTTTTTTGTTTTGATTTTTTTTTGCTGTGCAATCAGAACTTCTACCTGGCTTAACAAGACAAGTAGCTCAAGAGAAACAAACCGGAACATGTAGGAGCACTTTACCTCCAGTGTGTAGGCAACACTTTTTTCTGAATATCCCATAGCTGAAGCTGAAATCTGACCACAGTCAGACTGATCAGAGAAACAATATTTTCCTTCCCTATAGGCAGCTTCTTAGAGAAAATAAATATTGTTTCTCTACTCAGATAGAAAAAATAGTTCACACATTTGCTTTCAGATGGCTCTGTATATCTTATGCCATGATTGAGTGATAAAAGTATTAAAAAAGTATATATACGTGTGTGCATGTATAAAATATTCATATATCTATATCTATAATTGTTTTTTGTAACGCAGTCATATTTTTATGCATTGATCAAGATTTATCTTGGTCTGAGAATAAGACAGCTACTGCACCGGAAACATCATGGTATAATTAAGGCTATGAAATAAGGACTAGTTACTACCTAGTTTTTTATTCTGTTTTGGAAGAAAGCAAAGATTAATACTTTTACCACTCAATCATGGCATAAGATACACATGCACGTCTTCTGCCATAATAGAGTGGTAAAAGTATGAAACTTTGCTTTCGTACAAAATATATGTGCATCTTATTCCATCATATATATGCCATTTTTTTTATTTCAGGTTGTGAAGTCTGGGGAGCTCAAAGCTTTTGACTGGGGAAGCAGGGAAAAAAACATGGCTCATTATAACCAGGTAAGAATTTCTTGCTGCTATAGAAATTCCTTCAGGCACATTTTTTTGTCTTTATACATATCCTGCTCTTATTTTTAAAAAGGGAGTTTAGAAAGATTTGTCGACTTCTTTTTTGCATTTTAAAGATAACCGTTTCTAAAATTTAAGTATATTACAATATGCTTCATACTATTTGTCGTCTAATCAATAGAGTGCTCATTATTAACACCGTGTGTACTTTAATACTGGGCAAACTCTTCTCAGATCCTTTCACTGACTTTGTGAAAAGGTTTTGATTTTTATCAGGTTATTTGCGGCTGACAGGTCAGTGTGTTCTGCAGCCACATTTTATCTAATGCAAACACTCTACCATCTTGCAGACCTCATGATCTATGTAAGCCACATGCTTACATGGGTGGAGACATTTTAGGATGCTTATCAGGGTGGCAAAAGATCACTTTGGCTGTTTGCTATCCCTGTCTCCCAAAATGTAAAGTTATCCTCCCAACCCAATGCCTTCTGCATATTTTGGCATACAGGGTATCATCAGTCATAGCCTACGGTTTGAATAATCAAGGAGTTAAAGATGGTAGCAACCAGGTGGGGCTGGCTGGTGTAGAGAGACAAGTTTTATGTGTGTGTTTGTATGTGTGTGTGTGGGAGAGGGAGAGAGAAAGAGAAAAGAATGTCAATAAATGGGTATAAACAACTGTTTGCATCTGAATTCCCTCCCCTCGTCTTTATTCATTTAGCTGTAAAATAGCTTTTAAAATATCTAAGTGCTCTATGCTGGCTATTAATAACAATGGTTGAATTATTTTTGGTAGCACAATTGTTGGGCTGTTGTAGGTTTTTCGGGCTATATGGTCATCTTCTAGAAGCATTCTCTCCTGACGTTTCGCCTGCATCTGTGGCAAGCTTCCTCAGAGGTTGTGAGGAACACAATTGTTCTTTTCACTAGAGTTTTGTGGAATAACAGGATAAAAAGGGCAACGTGCCTGAAATCCATATCCAATTTTCCAATCGCTACACATTTTTCTCAAAGAATGGTATTCTCACATTAGTTATTTATTTTCGTACATTTCTATCCTGCCCTTCTCCTCACAAAGGGGACTCAGAGTGGTGGAGTTAGGAAGCAAACACTTTTCTAGTGGAATTGGGGGGGGGGGGTGTCTTTGTTTAAAAGGTATTAACAACCCATCTTTCAGTGCTTCTCTGCTCATAGTTGCTCCATTGTATGTAATTTGGAGGCTGTCCTTTTGCACTTTGGCTGTATTCTGAAGCATGTAGTTCTATCATTTTCATACCATTTTGTTACATTTACATCCAAAAGAATCCTGCCATGTGTAATTTAATGGCATACTTAGTATATATATTTATTTACCATCTCTAGCAGAGAATACTGTGTACTGCATTGTGCCAAAGAGGCACAGAATTTCTTGAGATATAAACATGCCAATGTAAAACTTTCATTCTTAGTCACTGAAGATGGTGAAAGCTGAAGTGTTTTGCCTGTATTATATTTTTAGTTATGTTTATTAATCACATAAACACACACACACACATATTAGTGATGAGCTGCATGCTTCTCGGACAAAGTTGGAAGAACAGTTATTGGTTTTCGGTTTTGTGTTTCGATCAAGAGATAAAAGTAGTAGTAGGGGCCGCAGTGGCACAGTGGGTTAAACCGCTAAGCTGCAGAACTTCCTGACTGTGGTTCGAATCCATGGGATGGGGTGAGCTCCCGTTGTTAGCCCCAGCTTCTCCCAACCTAGAAGTTCAAAAACATGTAAATGTGAGTAGATCAATAGGTACCGCTTTGGCAAAAAGGTAACAGTGCTCCATGCAGTCATGCCGGCCACATGACCTTGGAGGTGTCTATGGACAATGCCGGCTCTTCGGCTTAGAAATTGAGATGACACCCCAGAGTCGGACCTGACTAGACTTAATGTCAAGGGGAAATCTTTACCTTCACTTTAGTAGTGGTAGTAGTAATAATAATAATAAATTATAGTTTAAAATTGATGGAGACACTTTCTCGAACACCTCAGCAAGCGAGAGTCCAAAAGTGGCAGACTCAAACCCAGAATCTCAATCAATGGCTGATACCAGAGACTCTCCTCTGGGCACACAGAAAACTGGACGACTTGGAAGGCGCTGAACAGACTGCGCTCTGGTACCACGAGATACAGAGCCAACCTTAAGAAATAGGGCTACAAAGTGGAATCCATGACATGCGAGTGTGGAGGACCTCCTTATAGTAACACCAGAGGCACTCCAAGTGGCCAGCTACTGGTCAAAGGACATTTAATCAACTACCAAGCTTGCAAACTTTATGGTTTGTTTGTTTGTTAAAAATGCAATACAACTGTTTGGTTTGCTCCTGACATGATAAATAAATAGTTTAAAAGGCATAAACTGGTATAACTTTGGGGGAAAATTAGAGGACTTCTCGCCAATGATCTAGTCTGTTTATTTCTGACAAATGGCTGTAGAATTTGACTTAATCAGTTCCTTCCTCGTAGAATATATGTGCAATGATCTCAACGAAAATCTGTTGTTTTCCCCTTCTTTTTAGCCAACACCACCTCTCTACAAAGTGAAAGACATGACTGTTCCTACAGCCATTTGGACTGGTGGCCACGACTGGCTGGCAGACTCAAAGGACATAGCCCTGTTGTTGACTCAGGTCCCAAACTTAGTATACCACAAGAATATCCCCGAATGGGAACATCTGGATTTCATCTGGGGCCTTGACGCCCCTCAGCGCATGTATAAAGAGATCATTCAGTTGATGGAGAAACATAAGTGAGTTGGGAGAGTGTAGAGCTGTGTGGTTCTGAAATATTCCTTCAGGAAGCCAGCATGGTCTAATGCTTCTTCTTCTTTTTAAACTTATACTTCTTGCACACCTACAGTGTTATGCATCTGTCTATATGCAATCTAGCAATACCTCAGGATGTGGGATTTTTGCACTGTTCTCATGCCTATAAACCCACATAGTTTTAATAGAAGGGCTTAAGAGTAACCCGGTCGATCTTATCTTCACACAACCACTAATCTCACACAGTTAGGAGACTGCAAAGTAAAACTGACTGGCAGAATTCTCTTCTGGGAAGACAGAGGTGGAGAGAAGGAAGAATTTGTGTAAAGCCCTGCCAATATAGCTCTTGTCAAAACAATGGCTAGTTGTGTTTTCCCCTTTGGTACTATTTGAGTTTAAGACTATTTGGCATTTGGGAAAGTACGTTGAAGCACATTCTTTGACTTCTCTGGACCTACTCAGGAAAGAGGACATTTAGCAAGTGATTCCAGTTCAAATCAAGCCCACTCTCATTTGTTGTAGAACTGGTATGTCTTGCTACATTTTCGAAAATATTGTTTTGTGTGTGATTAGGTGTTAATCCCATAAAATACAAGGAATATGTGTCCTTCCAGATATTGCTGGACTGTGGTTCCCATTATCCTAGCTACGATGGCCAAGAGAAGATTGAGATGGGGAGGGACATAGACTTAGGATGTGTAACATTGAACTGCAGAAGAACAAATATATTGGTAAATACAAATATGTAATATATAACCATGTAGACTCGGAGTAGGTCCCATGGAGCCCTCCACCCAATACATCCGGAATAAAATTAGTTGTAAAAAATGAAGCTTTTGGCCAATGAACACGGTTTTATACTTCCAATCAAGCAAAGGTTTTCCATAAAAAGGAGTGGAAGTGATTGTAATTTGACTTCTGGTGGGACTAAATGGTATATGCAGCCCATGAAAAATCAGAAAGGATCCAAAATGGCAGTCTGATCCGTCAACAATGTTGGTGAGACATCAAAGCCTGTGTTACTTTCCCAATGTTTCTTATAACTTCTAAAGGGGTGACTGCTGTTTCAAGAGCAACAACCTGAGTAATTTGCAAGCTAAGAAGCTTTACTTTTAGCAATTTTTACTTTGCACTGTTCAAGATGTATCTGTTTCTCAACTGGTGAACTGCACTGCAAGGCAAGATTGGCTGGTGACTACCAAAGATGTGGTGTTCTGTGCTCTTTGATGTTCTGTTATCTGCACTGCAATTAAATTTAACTACTGGAAATAGGGAGCTGACCCTGTTAAAATATTTGATAGCAATCTCTGAATAAATGTTTTTTATAATGTTGTGGCCTACAAATTATTGAGTCATCGTTCGATCTCTATCCAACTTCCTGCATTGTTATTATAACTATGTGAGGTTAGCAGAGCACTATTATCCATGATCACGATGAAAACAGTCCCGTGACTGATTTCCCTAAAGAATGATATGTTATTCAACCATTGATTCAGTAGGTCTGTTCTTGTAAGGGCTTAAATCACATGGGTTACAATCAATTTACAATTATTTATTTAAAACATTTATATTCTGCCCTCCCGAAGGGGACTCAGGGCGGAGCACAGCATATATATGGCAAACATTCAATGCCGGGACACAAATTCACATACAATACATAAACATTAAAAAACATTTATCAAAATATTAAAATACACCATTTAAAACCATCCTAGTCATCCGCGTAAAATCTAATTGGCCTGGTCATCTTTCCTATTACCGCTTTATTGCCCTGTCCCCGAAAGCTTGGTCCCACAGCCAAGTTTTTGCCATCCTTCTTAAAGGACAGGAAAGAGGGGGCCGACCTGATCTCGCCAGGAAGGGAGTCCCATAGCTGGGGAGCAACCACCGAGAAGGCCCTGTCTCTTGTCCCCACCAATCATGCCTGTGACAATGGTGGGACGGAAAGCAGGGCCTCCCCGGAGGATCTTAATCTCCGCAGTGGTTCATAGGGAGAGATGCATTCAGACAGGTAATTTGCGCCGGGGCTGTTTAGGGCTTTATAGGCCAAAGCCAGCACTTTGAATTGTGCTCGGTAGCAAACTGGCAGCCAGTGGAGCTAGCGTAACATGGGAGTTGTATGCTCCCTGTATGCTGCCCCTGTTGTTAACCTGGCTGCCTCTCGGACTATTTGAAGTTTCTGAGCAGTCTTCAAAGGCAAAACCACATAGAGTGTGTTGCAGTAGTCTATCCTAGATGTAATGAGAGCGTGGACCAGTGTGGCCAAGTCTGACCTCCCAAGGTACGGGCGCAGCTGGTGCACAAGTTTTAATTGTGCGAACGCTCCCCTGGCCACCGCTGCAACCTGGGATTCCAGGCTCAGTGATGAATCCAAGATCACACCCAAGCTGTGAACCTGTGTACAAGTACCTACATGGGTTACACAAAGAAGCACTTCCATTTTTATTACTTCCATTTTTATCTTCACAACTCGATAAATGGCACATAGCATTTATATCAGTGTTTCTCAGCCTTCCTAATGCCACAACCCCTTAATACAGTTCATCAGGTTGTGGTTACCCCCAACCATAACATTATCTTCATTGCTACATCATAACTAATTTTGTTGCTGTTGTGAATTGAAATGTAAATATCTGATATGCAGAATGTATTTTCATTCACTGGACCAAAGTTGGCCCAAATACCCGATACACCCAAATTTTAATACTGGTGAGGTTGGGAGGGATTGATTTTGTCATTTGCGAGTTGTAATAGCTGGGAGTTATAGTTAACCTACAATCAAAGAGCATTCTGAACTCCACCAATGATGGAATTGAACCAAACTTGGCACACAGTACTCCCATGACAGACACAAAATACTGGAAGGATGTGGTGGCCTTTGACTTTGAGTTTCAGAGCTGTAGTTCACCTACATCCAGAGAGCACTGTGGACTCAAACAATGATGAATCTGGACCAAACTTGGGCACAAATACTCAATATTCCCAAATGTGAACACCAGTGGAATTTGGGGGAATTCGACCTTGGCATTTGGGAGTTGTAGTTGCTGGGATTTATAGTTCACCTACAATCAAAGAGCATTCTGAACCCCACCAACAATAGAATTGGTCCAAACTGGTCCCACACAGAATCCCTATGATCAACAGAAAATACTATTTTCTGATGGCCTTTGGTGACACCTCTGACACCCTCCCCCCATGACCTTCCCAGGGTTCCCGACCACCATGTTGAGAAACACTGATTTATATTATCCAGCAATGACATTTCCTGGACCAAGGAATTTTCTATGTTTACTCACTCACGCAAAATAAAAAAAACATTGATTCTCATGCACATTTTGTAACTTCCTGATAACTGCAGCCAAGTGATCCATGGTGAAATTTACCTTAATTGCCACAATTATATTTATTTGTTGCTTAGTGCATTGTTGGATATTTCTCTGATTTATGGGTAAAATAGAGAGTGGATTTCATCACATTGAGGTCAAACTTGTGTGTGATAGCACCCGGGGGGGGGGGGGGGGGGGGGAGGGATTTACCATGGATCTTAATGAATCCAGCGGGAGGCCCTCACCTTATCCTAAGGGCGGAAGTGTCTCCCTCCCTTCCCCTCATTTTTCTCAATGAGAACACGGGAAGCCGTCTATGTTCTCACTGCTCCCTCTTGTGACATTTTGAGCTTGGTTCAAGGACAGAGCCCTGATGGAAGTAGATCTACGTCATCTGATGGGATCCATAGGGCTCTGTCCCTGATTTGAGGTGAAGCTGTCGTAGGATGAGCAATTTTGCCTGTGTGGTGAGGTGGAAAGTGTCCCAAAGGTAACCTGATATGATAAGGAAAATGTGAAACTACTCTCAAGTTTCCGATGGGCTCTTACAAAAGGCAGAAGTAACCAATTTCAGAATGTCTCTGTGTGTGTCTATGTGCGTGTGTGTATGTGTGTGTGGGGTGTGTGTGCACACTTAAGTTGCTCATCAGTTTATGAGTTTTCTAGGAAAGGAATATTCAGACCTGCATCACATCATTTTGGCCACATCATGAGAAGACAGGAAAGCTTAAAGAAGACAATGATGCTGGGGAGAATAGAAGGAAAAAGGAAGAGGGACCGAGCAAGGGCAAGGTGGAGGGATGGCATCCTTGAAGTAACTGGCTTTACTGAAGGAGCTGGGGGTGGTGACGGCCGACAGGGAGCTCTGGCGTGGGCTGGTCCATGAGGTCACGAAGAGTCGGAAGCGACTGAACTAATGAACAACAACAACAACATCATTGACTCCCATTATTGATGAATGGATAGATAAGGTTAAAGAAATAGACATGGATGAACTAACTTTTTTGATGAGGAAAAATACCGGAAAATTGGTAAAAAGGACAGATTGGACCCTTTTTTATGATTACGAAAAAAATAGAAGAACAGCAGAGACTAAGAAAACATAAATTAGATAAAGAAGTACTTAATGAAGATCCTGAGGCGGGAGTGGAAGTCATTTTAGTATAGATTTTGTTTTTTTGTATTTCCGGTATTTTTCATATTTTTTGTATTTCCGGTATTTTTCATATTTTTTGTATTTCCGGTATTTTTCATATTTTTTGTATTTTTTTGTATTTGTATTTTTTTGTATTTGTATTTTTTCTGTTTGTGTGTGTGTGTGTGTGTATAATATTATATGTGTGTGTATAATATATTTTTATGTGTGTGTATAATATTATATTTTTATTTTATTTTATTTTTTCCTTGCCCTCTCCATCTCTTTTTATGCTTTTTTCTCTATGGTGATCGGGTTTCCTACTTGTTTATCCTCTTTTGGAATGTTCTCCCTCTTTCCTTGTGTTGGTGTTTAAAATGTTTAATAAAAATTTATTCATAAAAACAAACAAACCAACATCACTAGGGGTATAGGTTCTAGTTCAAAAGAAGTAATAGTCCTACTCTGTTCTGCGTTGGTCAGATCTCACCTGGAATACTGTGTTCAATTCTGGGCACCACCATTTAAGAGAGATATTGACAAGCTGGAATGTGTTCAGAAGAGGACGATTCAAATGATCAAAGTCTGGAGACCATGCCCTATGAGGAGTGGCTTCAAGAGCTGGGGATTATCAGCCTGCAGTAGAGAAGGTTGAGAGAAGACGCGATCACCATATTTAAATATTTGAAAGGATGTCACATTGAGGAGGGAGCAACTTGTTTTCTGCTGCTCTGGAGACTAAGACACAGAGCTATGGATTCAAATTGCAGAAGGGAAAAGATTCCACCTAAACATTAGGAAGAATTTCCTGACAGTAGTAACTGTTCTGCAGTGGAATATACTGCCTCGAATGGTAGTGGAGGTTTTTCAGCAGAAGCTGGATGGCCATCTGGCAGGGATGCTTTGATCATGTGTTCCTGTATGGCAGGGGGTTGGACTGCATGGCTCTTGTGGTCTCTTGCAACTAGGTGGATTGGTCAGTTCCTTAATCTGAAATCCAGCATTCAACGCCTGGGATATGTTGGTAGTTTCCCATCCAAATACTAAATTACAGCTGACCCTACTTAGCAGGATAACTGGAGAAAAGGAAATTAGCACTCAGAAAACCACATCTGAAGGACATGGTTTTCTTTTGACCTAGTAATAGGAACAACACTGCCATCTTCTGCTGTACTCCTGATGTGTTTTATGAAGACCTTACAGTTTTAAAACCATTGCTTCCGTCACAAGATGGTGCTATAACACACAGAAGCCAAGATGTCTATAACACTATGTAACAGGACTCTTTTTCCTGGGTTATTGAGTATTTGTGCCAAGTTTGGTCCAGATCCATCATTGTTTGAGTCCACAGTGCTCTCGCCAAAACTCAAGGTCAATGCCCACCAAACCCTTCCAGTATTTTCTGTTCGTCATGGGAGTTCTGTGTGCCAGGTTTGGTTCAATTCTATCATTGGTGGAGTTCAGAATGCTCTTTGATTGAGGTGAACTATAAATCCCAGCAGTGACAACTCCCAAATGTCAAGGTCTATATTCCCCAAACTCCACCAATGTTCGCATTTGGGCATATTGAGTATTTGTGCCAAGTTTGGTCCAGTGAATGAAAATATATCCTGCTTATCGTTTTATATATAATGTTGGATTTAATACTTGCCATTAATCTGTAATGCCCCCAATTTTGAACAATATTTCTCCACCTTTGACCCTGCAAATTTTCTGGACTTCAGCTTCCAAAAGTGAGAATATGATGAAGAAGTTGGTGGAGTTGTAAGCTGCCGTGAGTCCTCTGCGGGGTGAGAAAGGCAGAGTATAAATGAAGTCAATAAATGAATCAATAAGAATTCAGGCAGCTGAAATCCAAAATATCTGGTA